TGAGGTTACAGGGACAAACCATCCCGATGCGTAGAAAGAATAGTAAATATGGCAGGCGACCAGCTTGGCTTAACAGTGAAATCCTTGCTGATCTTAAACACAAAAAAGAGGCTTACAAGAAGTGGAAGATTGGACAAATGACCAGGGATGAGTATATAAATATTGCTCGGGCATGTAGGAATGGAATCAGGAAGGCTAAATCACACCTGGAGTTGCAGCTAGCGAGGGATGTTAAGAGTAACAAGAAGGGTTTCTTCAGGTATGTTAGCAACAAGAAGAAATCCAAGGAAAGTGTGGGCCCCTTACTAAATGAGGGAGGCAACCTAGTGACAGAGGATGTGGAAAAAGCTAATGTACTCAATGCTTTTTTTGCCTCTGTCTTCACGAACAAGGTCAGCTCCCAGGCTACTGCACTGGGCAGCACAGCATGGGGAGGAGGTAGCCATCCCTCTGTGGAGAAAGAAGTGGTTCGGGACTATTTAGAAAAGCTGGACGTGCACAAGTCCATGGGGCCGGATGCGTTGCATCCGAGAGTGCTAAAGGAGTTGGCAGATGTGATTGCAGAGCCATTGGCCATTATCTTTGAAAACTCATGGCGACCGGGGGAAGTCCCGGAAGATTGGAAAAAACCTAATGTACTGCCCATCTTTAAAAAAGGGAAGAAGGAGGATTCTGGGAACTACAGGCCGGTCAGCCTCACCTCAGTCCCCGGAAAAATCATGGAGCAGGTCCTCAAAGAATCAATTCTGAAGCACTTAGAGGAAAGGAAAGTGATCAGGAACACTCAGCATGGATTCACCAAGGGCAAGTCATGCCTGACTAATCTAATTGCCTTCTATGATGAAATAACTGGTTCTGTGGATGAAGGGAAAGCAGTGGACGTGTTATTCCTCGACTTTAGCAAAGCTTTTGACACGGTCTCCCACAGTATTCTTGTCAGCAAGTTAAGGAAGTATGGGCTGGATGGATGCACTACAAGGTGGGTAGAAAGTTGGCTAGATTGTCGGGCTCAACGGGTAGTGATCAATGGCTCCATGTCTAGTGGGCAGCCGGTATCAAGTGGAGTGCCCCAAGGGTCGGTCCTGGGGCCGGTTTTGTTCAATATGTTCATTAATGATCTGGAGGATGGTGTGGATTGCACCCTCAGCAAGTTTGCTAATGACACTAAACTGGGAGGAGTGGTAGATACGCTGGAGGGTAGGGATAGGATACAGAGGGACCTAGACAAATTGGAGGATTGGGCCAAAAGAAATCTGATGAGGTTCAACAAGGACAAGTGCAGAGTCCTGCACTTAGGACGGAAGAATCCAAGGCACCGCTACAGACTAGGGACCGAATAGCTAGGCAGCAGTTCTGCAGAGAAGGACCTAGGGGTGACAGTGGATGAGAAGCTGGATATGAGTCAACAGTGTGCCCTTGTTGCCAAGAAGGCCAATGGCATTTTGGGGTGTATAAGTAGGAGCATTGCCAGCAGATCGAGGGACGTGATCGTTCCCCTCTATTCGACATTGGTGAGGCCTCATCTGGAGTACTGTGTCCAGTTTTGGGCCCCACACTACAAGAAGGATGTGGAGAAATTGGAGAGAGTCCAGCGAAGGGCAACAAAAATGATTAGGGGACTGGAACACATGAGTTATGAAGAGAGGCTGAGGGAACTGGGATTGTTTAGTCTACGGAAGAGAAGAATGAGGGGGGATTTGATAGCTGCTTTTAACTACTTGAAAGGTGAATCCAAAGAGGATGGATCTAGACTATTCTCAGTGATAGCAGATGACAGGACAAGGAGTAATGGTCTCAAGTTGCAGTGGGGGAGGTTTAGGTTGGATATTAGGAAAAACTTTTTCACTAGGAGGGTGGTAAAACATTGGAATGCATTACCTAGAGTGGTGGTGGAATCCCCTTCCTTAGAAGTTTTTAAGGTCAGGCTTGACAAAGCCCTGGCTGGGATGATTTAGTTGGGATTGGTCCTGCTCTGGGCAGGGGGTTGGACTAGATGGCCTCCAGGGGTCCCTTCCAACTCTGTTATTCTATGGTTCTATGATAGGGTAAGTGGAGGCAGTTGAGGGATTTGAAACACGGTCAGAATAACACGTGAATGATAATTTTTTGCAGCAATTTTGGACATGCTGACGGGGAGCTTGTAAGTATCAGGGAGGCGAAGGTTGCTGGTTTATAATCGCATTGCAGTAGATATCTTGCACCAAAACAGTGCATTTATTTTAATTAATTTAGTCAGTAACCATGTCTGATACGTTTTCTTTTCAGCCAGAAACACAGCCTTCCTTTGGGGAACTCAGGGGCTGAGACAGTTAGCTATGGTGTGATTTAGGAAAGAAACTAGGTCGTCCTACTTATGTCAGCAAATGTTCACTATTACTATGTGTCTGTTTAATCAGTAGTGTATTGTATAAGTACTGTTTACTACATACTTCTCATATACGTGGCTTTCATGGATTGCTTGGTATACAGAACAGTACTACACTCTCTTGTGGAGAAAGAATAGAGGAATATGCAGTGGAGACCAGAGCTTTGGTCACAATAGCAAGGAGTATTTGCTACAAAAATACATTTAAAAAAAAACTTAACTGCAGCTGCCCAGAGAGCTGCCGTAATTATTTACATAAATTCATTTCTTAGCAAACCGACAGGCTGCCTGGCTTCAAGCACACACAGACTTTCTTCCATGAATAAAAACAACATGAGAAAACACTGCACTCTAACAGCTCTGTTAAAGCACAAGCTAGAGTTTATCAGCAGAACAGGAAGCACTCGTGTTAGAAGGGAACCAATTTAACTTAACTTGTCTTACAGGTCCTGGCTTCCTCTTCAAACCACCACCAAGTACAGCAGAAAAACAAAAGAAGGCTGGTTCATGAAGTGCTTACTCTGTTCACTGAAGTCACTGGGAGTTTTAACTCAGCAGGGGTTGTGGGATTTGACCCAATACATGAATAGAGTCTATGTTACTCTATGTTCTGTGCCAAAAAATTTAAAATTCTGCAAATTTTATTTGTCAAATAAATGTGGCGGCTCCAGCATGGCATTGGGGAGCACGGGCCACTGGCTGGCTGCACAGAGGTGGGAGATCTGTGCCACTTCCCCACCCCTGGCACATGGACTCAGTGGTGAAGCTGCACCCAACCCTGACACAGCGCAAGGACCTGGCCTGCCCCAGAAACACCCCAGGGCCCTGCCCCTCTGTGTGGGCATGCAGGCTCAGCAAAGCAGGATTCAAGTGTGGAGGGGCTTAAAGTGGGGGAGGTCCAGGTGTGGGTTGAGAGGATTCTGTGTGGGGCAATCTGGGTGCGGGTGGCTCAGCGGGGGATCTGGGAGGGGGGGAGAATCTGGATCAACAGGGGCTAGTTGTGGGGCTGGGTGCAACAGTAATGGGACTCTGCAGGAGGGTCCAGGTGAAGGTGGTTGGGATTCAGCGGGGGTGTTGTATGGGTGGGGGAGAATAGAGTATAGCAAGGGAGTCTGGGTGTAGGGGGCTCACTGGAGGTCCAGATGCTGGGTGGGAGTGGGCATCCAGGTGCAAACTGTCTGGGGCTCAGTGGGGTGGGGATCCAGCTGGCTCGTTGGGATGGTTCAGATGCAGGGGGAGTGGGGCTCAGCAAGAGGGTCTGGGTATGAGGGGGTCTGGATGCACAGGGGTTGGGCGGATGGGGGAGCAGCTCCATGTACAGGGATCCCTCCCCCTGCAGTTGAGGAAAGATGGGTGCAGGAAGTGTATGTGGGCAGGCCGGGGGGGAGAGTATGCAGAGCTTCCTGCAGTTGGGGGAGAAATCTGGCGGTGGGTCTAACCTGGCCCCAGATGCTGTGCAGGAGAAGAGGAAGTCCCGTCCTCCCCAGGCTAGCTGTGATTAGCAGCTGAGCCCGGTGCAGGGTAGGAGCCGTCCTGTCTCCTGCCCACAGAGATTTACCTCTCTGCTGGCTGCCCTGGGCACTCGAAACATACTGCTGGGGAGGGTCGCATGACCGCTCTTGTAGATTCCCTTTGCTTCCCTGTCAGAAAGTTATTTTTCTGCAGGGAAGCAAAGAAATCTGCAGGGGAAATAAATTCTGCACATACGCAGTGATGCAGAATTCCCCCAGGAGTACTATGTGCTCCAGGCTGCAAGGCTTACAACCAGTTAAAGATCCCACAATTATGCAAAATAAAATGATAATACACCACCCAAACCCCAGTACTACGCTGTCTTATCAAAACCCTTGAAGGCTGTCTTCATCTATTCCACTCGTCAAAATTCATCACTTGCAGCTTGGAAGTGCACACAAATCACGTGGAATTTTTCATATGTTGTCCTTGTTAGGAGGTCTTTTAAATCTCCAGAAACCACTGCTTTAGAGGGCTGTGCCAGGAACTGTGGTATCCAGAGGGCAGCACAAAAGTAACGATGTAAAAGAACACAATAATGGATGCAGACCAAAACTACAACCAACCAGTACCTAAAAGAGCATAGCTGGTGTGGACACACAGCACTACTGGTACTTATGTTGGTGCTAATCTACAAATTCCATTCTCTAAGGCAGAGAAGGCCAGCTAGGGCTAAGTCTGCTCCAGAGTTATGTATTGCTTAAACTCTCACACCGAAGAGACACTTGGCTGAAGAGACCTTTTAGCAGCTTTTTGTGAATTAATTTTCATAATGACAAGTACAGTTCCTGTAACTGAACATATACCATATTTATATTTTTGTGTAGTCTGGACCACCATTAAAATGTTTGTTTACTGCATGTTCTCTCCCTTCACAGTCAACTGTTGTGATTGGACACGTTCAGCTCCACGTTAAAAATTCACTATATGGTATTTTAATCTTTAGATATTAATTTATATAACAATTCCCAACTGCTGGTTGCTGCATTTGAATATGCATCATTTGCCTTGTTAAAAAGGAATATAGCAGAAAATGAGTAGTCTTAGTACATGTCATAGAGAAGGTGAGACAGATGGAACTTTAAACTTAAAAACAAAAACCCAGCAACGAGCCTGCCCTTACCTGTTCAAAAAAGCATTTCCAAAGCGGCTGAGTTTACGGAATGGCTTCTTGGGGTCCACAACTAATGCATTTCCAGGAGTACTCCCTTCTGCATCTCCATGCATCACAGCAATGAAAGAATCTGTGGTAGGCTCTGGACCAATCCTCATGCCTGGAAAGTCCTGTTCTAATAGGTACCTAGGAAAGGGGAATTATAAAAAGGAAAGGGAAGATAAGCAAGCACTTCGGTTAAAAAAAATTGCCATTTACTTTATAATTAAAATAAAGAAATAAAATTCAAGAGACATATACCCCCTCAGTCCAACCATCAGGGACTAACTTTTTATGCATTTCACTATTTTTTTTGGCTAGAAATAGATGTCAGAGTGTAAAGCTGGAATTCCAACTTTTCACAAAAAGCCGATAAAGTCAGAATAATGAAAGTCAATCCTCCCCTGTAAAACCATAGATAAAAACATGCCCTCAACTATAAGATTCACTTCACCAGTTATGGCTACAAGTGACTCAAGCATGACTACACAAAGTTGTAGTTAATTCAAGGTATGCTGCTGCACATGATTGCTGCCAGCAAATACAGCAATGCATACATTAGGAAGTCTCATTTAGCACTTGTGTATTTAAGTTTGTATGTGTGCTGCTAACAGCAAGGCCTATAGAGAGAGGTTTTTAAACTTGTGGGTATGGTCAGAAAAGCGATCATGTGAAAACGACACCAACTTCCTGAACAGACCTGACTGCTAGCTGAATTCACAGTCATATCTGCTGATTTTAGTAACATACATGAGTAAACTTTTCTTCTGTTAACACCTGTAGAGCCAACACATGGGGGAGCAGGAGATGAATTTGAGTCTAAATTGCATAACAGAATTGTTAACTAAGTTCCAACTGCAGAACTAATTTCTGCCCTCGGACACATATATGCATCTCAGTTGAAGACAATTTCCTTCCTGTTTGCACAATTGCCTAGCTTTCCAGCTCTCGGGCTTACTGCTAGCACCACGATGTTGATGCCCAAGAAGAACCAGATTGCCATCTACAAACTCCTTTTTAAGGAGGGAGTGATGGTGGCCAAGAAAGACGTTCACATGCCTAAACACCCAGAGCTGGAAGACAAGAATGTGCCCAACCTCCATGTCATGAAAGCCATGCAGTCACTGAAATCGCGTGGCTATGTGAAGGAGAAGTTTGCTTGGAGGCACTTTTACTGGTATCTGACCAACGAGGGTATCGAGTATTTGCGTGATTATCTTCATCTACCCCGAGATTGTGCTTGTCACCCTGTGCTGTAGCCGCGCTGAGACTGGCAGACCGCAGCCCAAAGGTCTGGAAGGTGAACGCCCTGCTCGTCTTACTCGGAGAGAGGCTGACAGAGATACCTACAGACGCAGTACCGCTCCACTTGGTGCTGACTAAAAGGCTGAGGCTGGTGCTGGAGCAGCTACTGAATTCCAGTTTAGAGGTAGATTCAGTCATGGACGTGGTCAGCCTCCTCATTAGAATTCTCTGGTCATGTTTTTGTGTATAATAAAATAGGTGAAAATCTCAAAAAGCATTATGATGGGTTTTCCATCTCCTGCCGAATCACTAAGGATAGGCTACAGACAAAGGCAGGACAGCCTCCTTCATGGACCAGCTTAAGTGCTTATTTTCAATGGAACTTAAGCACATGCTTAAAGGTTGAGGACAGGCTTCCATGCTTTTCTGAATGAGGAGGTATTCCTGATTTGAGGCCAATATTAACAGCAAAAGATTCCCTATACCTATTCAGTTTATTAAGTAACGTGCTTTTGCAGCATACACTGGCTTACCCATTTTTCCAGATTCAGAGAAGGAAAGAACAACTACAATCAGCCCTGCTTAGCTTCAAGAAAATTGTGCTCTAACTCCCTGTTCATAATATAAACAGCAGAACTACCCTAGAAATACCCTTGAAAAGTTGCACCTATGAAAACAATTGAGGATTTAGTATTTCAAGATTCTCCCTCAAACAAAGAGAACCTGATTAATCAAGAATTACTAGGTCCATGGGTTTCCCAAGTATTGGTGTATTTAAAGCAAATCATGGCTAACTACAATTTAGGGCACATTTGCAGATTGCCATAGTCAACAGCTTAAAATAATCAAAATTGAACCTATCAAGACAATTCTTCAGGCTTTAGTGGTAGTACCATTGCTCTGACAGCCAATGGCAGAATGCTCTGAGCATTCAATGGGTGGGAACCTGGACAAGGCTGCTACTGTGAGGTCAATAGCTAGCAATGGTTTGGTAGGTTGTGCGTCATTTTGTAAAACTGCACTAATTTAGCCTTACTTCAAGGCTGCTGTAGCTGCATATACATTCCACGGAGCTTTTCCGCTTGTTAAACAATTCATAGATACTTAGGTCAGACGGGACCATTATGATCATCTAGTCTGACCTCCTGCACAACGCAGCCCACAGAATTTCACCCACCACTCCTGCAAAAAACCTCACACCTATATCTGTTTCCTGTTTCACTCTGCCTTCAGTTCAACAGAACCCAAACAACCAAAGCCTTATAATATTGGTACAAAGAAGTAAAATCAAGGAACTAAGACTATGATAGCTATGAAATAGAATCTCTTCACCAGCCTTGGTAAACTTGCTCCAATAGCACCAAACTCTTACTGTATAAGCTACAGGGAACAACTGCATCGTCTTACATGAGGTCTAAAAACTGGAGGAATGGAAGAAGGGAAGAACTATTATTTTAAGTGAAATTCTAACAACCCTTTGCTCATACAGACCAAAACCAGCAAGAGGACATGTAAGAGCCAAAAGATTAGGAGAGAGCTTCTCTCCCTGAGCCTCCTATTTACTAACATATCAGAACAGACCAAAGTCCATTAAGTACATTATTCTGCTTCCAGGAGTGACTTATACCAGCTTCTGCTTCATGCACCTGCAAGACTGGACAACGTCATGATTATGTTATTTATTTGGCAGAGGTGGGGGTGCAGAGAGAGAATAGTATGCATTCTTGAGCTCAGGAGATGATCACTTTATGCCCAGATATATGAAAATGAATAGCCCTTATACCAGGTGTGGCCAACCTGAGCCTGAAAAGGAGCCAGAATTTACCAATGTACATTGCCAAAGAGCCACCGTAATATGTCAGCAGCCCCCCCATCAGCTTCCCTTCACCCCCGGCTCCCAGTATCTCCTGCCCACCAGCAGCACTGCCCCATCAGCACCTCCCGCTCCCTCCCCACACCTGCCAATCATCTGTTTCATGGTGTGCAGGAGGTTCTGGGGGTGATGGGGAGGAGTGACAGCACTGCAGACTCAGGGGAGGGCACGGGAAGGGGTGGAGTGGGGGCAGGGCCTGTGGCAGAGCCAAGGGTTGAGCAGTGAAACCCCCCCCCCCGGCACATTAGAAAGTTGGTGCCTGTAGCTCCAGCCCTGGAGTCGGTGCCTATACAAGGAGGAGTATATGGCTCCAGAGCCACAAGTTGGCCATCCCTGCCTTACACTATTGTAGCTAAGGTCTAAATCCTAAAAATGGATCTGCACATCACTACACCCACATGGATCCACTTGCAGCATCTAGTCCTTAGATAACACTTGTAACTCCAGATGCTAGTGTATTAATCTTTTTTAATCTAAAATTATTTGAATCAGTAGCTGCAGCAGTGAGTTCCATAGATCAAGTATACTTTGTTTTCAAATAACAATTTCCTTTTCACTGGTGTTGCTCTTCTTCAAAAAGAGTCTCTATTTTTGGTTCTAAGTCTCCTATTTTGCTATGAAACAGCATTTCCAGAGACTCCTGCTGATGGAAGATGGTGATTCAGAAGATGGTGACACATACAACATAAAGCTTACAAAGTGGCAGCAACAATCTTAATCCCCAGTTCTGCAAATCAGAGCCACATAGATGAAGCCAAAGGTCTCTGAGGAATCATAGAATCATAGAATATCAGGGTTGGAAGGGACCTCAGGAGGTCATCTAGTCGAACCCCCTGCTCAAAAGCAGGACCCATCCCCAATTAAATCATCCCAGCCAGGGCTTTGTCAAGCCTGACCTTAAAAACTTCTAAGGAAGGAGATTCCACCACCTCCCTAGGTAACGCATTCCAGTGTTTCACCACCCTCCTAGTGAAAAAGTTTTTCCTAATATCCAACCTAAACCTCCCCCACTGCAACTTGAGACCATTACTCCTTGTCCTGTCCTCTTCCACCACTGAGAATAGTCTAGAACCATCCTCTCTGGAACTACCTCTCAGGTAGTTGAAAGCAGCTATCAAATCCCCCTTCATTCTTCTCTTCCGCAGACTAAACAATCCCAGTTCCCTCAGCCTCTCCTCATAACTCATGTGTTCCAGACCCCTAATCATTTTTGTTGCCCTTCGCTGGACTCTCTCCAATTTCTCCACATCCTTCTTGTAGTGTGGGGCCCAAAACTGGACACAGTACTCCAGATGAGGCCTCACCAATGTCGAATAGAGGGGGACGATCACGTCCCTCGATCTGCTCGCTATGCCCCTACTTATACATCCCAAAATGCCATTGGCCTTCTTGGCAACAAGGGCACACTGCTGACTCATATCCAGCTTCTCGTCCACTGTCACCCCTAGGTCCTTTTCCGCAGAACTGCTGCCTAGCCATTCGGTCCCTAGCCTGTACCTGTGCATTGGGTTCTTCCGTCCTAAGTGCAGGACCCTGCACTTATCCTTATTGAACCTCATCAGATTTCTTTTGGCCCAATCCTCCAATTTGTCTAGGTCCCTCTGTATCCTATCCCTGCCCTCCAGCGTATCTACCACTCCTCCCAGTTTAGTATCATCCGCAAATTTGCTGAGAGTGCAATCCACACCATCCTCCAGATCATTTATGAAGATATTGAACAAAACTGGCCCCAGGACCGATCCCTGGGGCACTCCACTTGACACCGGCTGCCAACTAGACATGGAGCCATTGATCACTACCTGTTGAGCCCGACAATCTAGCCAACTTTCTACCCACCTTATAGTGCATTCATCCAGCCCATACTTCTTTAATTTGCTGACAAGAATACTGTGGGAGACCGTTTCAAAAGCTTTGCTAAAGTCAAGATACAATACATCCACTGCTTTCCCTTCATCCACAGAACCAGTAATCTCATCATAGAAGGCAATGATTACATTAGTCAGGCATGACCTTCCCTTGGTGAATCCAT